AAATATTATTTTCTGTTTTGGTCAAACTTGATATGAAATTTCAGTGAAATCTTAATTGTTGAACTTGAGAGCATGCCTACCCTTTTATATTGGAAAGTACTGTATTTGGACTTAGCTGAGAAGCTCGTCACTACTTTCAGTTCTTTATTTATTATTGTTACTTATTGAGTTGGTTGTACTCATACTACACCCTGCACTTCGTGTGCAGATCCAGGTGATCCCGGATACATTGGGTGTTGTTTCTTTCACACAGTCGATTTTTTGGAGATTCAGAGGTAGCTGCCATATTTCGTAGACCTTGTCTCTCCTTCCCTATCCTTTTGTTTATTATATTTGGTCTCAGATTATTATAGACCACGTTTTTCAGACTTGTAATGTATAAATGCTCATGTACATAGTGACACCGGATTTTGGGAATGTATTTTATGTCAGTAATTTGTGTGATTTTCTATAAAATTCAAATATTATGTTTTCAAACTTAAGAGATAATGTGGCTTATTGAGATTGTCGGCTTGCCTAATATTGAGATAGGCGTATTCCACTTCCTTCGACAAGGAAGTCGCCATCCTTTCCGGTGGCCTCTTGGGAACGCCTCTTGTAGGGTCTTCCATGTCTGGATGGTATGTCTTTAGACACCCCACATGGAAGACAGGGTGGATCTTTAGCTTGGAAAGAAGCTGAAGTTTTTAGGCAACTTGTCCTACTTTCTCTATGATGGGGAATGTCCCATCACGACACGTGAGATTTTTGGGTCGTGACATTTTCATTTTCATTTTTCATGTTGACTATCGGTGACTTTCCCAGTTTAAGAAATTCAAAAGTCAGCTTTTTAAATCTCTCTAACAGAGTAACCGTCTAAAAAATTAGCATCACCAAATGGGCAATTATACAAGTAGCAAAAAAAAGTCTCTTCCAACTGTCATGGCTTTTTAATGTCTTAATTTCAATTGTAATTCATCTCTAATGCCTGTTCTTTTTATCAAGAAGTTGTTCTTCTTCCAGAATATTTTTTTCACTGGGTAATTTTACATTAGAAAGTCAAAAATTATTTCTCTACTTTATTGCTGCTTTCATTGAAGATTAAGCAATTGCTCAATCAAATATCGATGCATTGTGATATAGGTCCCGACTTTTTCTTCTTAACTACGTTTTTCATAAGCACTTATAACACTACTGCCGTTGCTATACGCATATCCAGTTCGACATCAAGATATTGCAAAATTTCTTTGAACCCTTAAAGGCAAGTTTTCTGTTCATATAGTTTACTATTAAGTTCTCCTAAATTATTTTTTCTTAAAATGACAATACTATTTTTCTGTTCAATGTACATGATGGGATATCCTATATACATTATTCTCCATTCAGTATTCTAGACTCCTGTTAGATTTTAGGTGATTGTACCAAGAAAGTTTTCATCTTTTAGTTATTTTGTTGGCAGTTTGATTCTAGCTATTAAACTCGAAAGAAATATACCTAAGTACCATTTTACATGGTTCTGTGATAATAAATGTTTTAGCCAGTTTACGTAACAATGCAGTACTTTTGGAACTACTTTGAGAAATAACCACACTTATGAAATAAAGAAAATTTCGTTATTTTAATAGAAGTTTTAAAAGCATTTAGTTTGTTAATTCTTTTTTAAAAAGTAGACCCAAATTAAGGATGGTGATTTCAATAACGGAATTAAAAAGTAATTACTCAAAGAAAAAGTAATTATATTTGAGAGGATAAATTGTTTCATTAATAATACTACTCCTTCGTTTTGCGATTTTCTCTGTTTTTATTCAGTTTTTACAGATTTTCTTAATATGATAATCATATGCAATATGAAGAGAAAAAAAAAGCAGGAGCAAAAATATTTATGTTATCATTTTTATGGATCAGTTTAGGTTTTTTGTGTTTTGTTTTGCATAATACGTCATGTTATTAATATGGAAGAAATGAAAATGTAGGTCCTCCAAATATTTACCCGTATTATTTTTTGTTCCATCTGGAATTCTGGATATAGAAGAGTCATTTTACTTTAAATTGTGGCTTAGTGGTCATTGACTATTTCTTTAACTTCTGATATCAGTATTCTTGGATGTACTAGCATCAAACTTGAAATTTTGCATGCATAGTGATAATAGTAGTAATATATAAGTTCGTTAAACTTTGGCATATTAAATATTAGGAAAGTGAGAAAACATTCTGGATTTGGGATGTTGAGTTTCTTTGAAATATGAAGTGGTATCGTGTTGTAGTATGCCTTTACTCCAAAGAAGTATTGTATATATTTTTCATTGTTCATATATAGAAATTTGTCACATTGAGAACTATTCATTTTTTCAAAGTATTCAATTTATGTCACATGGTTTTTTCTTATCAATTGTAAATATTTGCAATTCTTCCAACAGGTGAATTTTATAAGTGATTAGGGTAGGAATGTATTACTCTGGGCAAAGACTTTTCCTGCTGAAAATTAAGGCTAAGCTTCGTAGTCGGGAATTAGATGATAATTCTCTTCTATTTTAAAGATTCAATAAAGTGATATTTGTTCTTTATTTTTTCCCCTATAGTCTATAGATGAAGTACATGCATGAAAATTTCATCTGTTATATATCTTGATTAAATTTACCATAAAATAGTATCGTAAATTTACTTTTACTGCGTGAAGCGCGGACAACTTAACTAATTAGGAAAATAATTGAGTATTTCATATATGAGTATTTATTGTGTAATTTTTATTTTATGCCAAGTAAAATCATTTAGCGAATTTTACAATTAATATCATATAATACCAAACTGAAAAATAAATGGTTCAATGTTTAAAGAAAAAAGAAGAGGTATTATCACTTTTATTCCGCGCCAGAAATTACTTACATTCGATAGTCAAAAAAGTATATAATATTTGTATATAAAATAAAAGATTGTATATATATACAAAATATATGTATTTTCGACTATTATTCTGAGAGCGATTATATAAAGCTAATTTTCTCAAAAAAGAATAATGGAATCTTTCTACGTTAAGGGACCCCCTTTCATTTATATTTTATAGAATCCCTACAAGTTGAGGGTAGTGGGGGCCGTGGATTCTAGATGTCAAGTAGTACACGCGCTGGTGGATTCAGACAGCGGATTTTGGTCCTTTGCACCAATCCGAGAACGCGTGATTTTCACGAAGAACACTGTCACTGTTGTGAACTTATAATGCTGACTCACCTGCCTAATAATTTGTCCATCCTCTCTCTCTTTTTTTTTTTCTTTTTCCCTTTCTTTTCTTATTTTATGAAACTTGCCGTAAATAGAAAAGGGATGGAAGATAAAAAGGAGCTTCTTGCAGCATTAGTATTTTGTATTTGAGTAAGTAAATGAATGCAACCATCAAATTATAACTTTGATACTAAAACAAATTTTATGCTAACTTGATTCACCTTTAATGAGTTCTTCTTATCTAAATAATTATGTTAGACTATATAAATAAAACAAAAACCCATATAAACTGAAAACAAATAATTATACTTTTACATATTTTTTGTTAAAAAATAAAAAGGAAATTATGGCCGTGTGATCTGAAACACAGAGTAAAAGCGTGTTTACCATTTTACTGCGTTACACTAGCAATAAATGTATTTGATTAAGCTAAAAGCTCGATATTTTTTTAGAAGACAGGAATCTTAGTGATGTGGCTTTAGAATATTCATAAAAACAAGATAAGATTCCATTCATATAAAAGGGCTCTTTGTCACCTGTTTTTATCTAGTATTCCTTCAGGCATACATGGTCAAAGTTTAAATGACATGACCTTCTTTAAGATAAACATTGTATTAAGATTATTAAAACGGATTTGAAATTTTAGATTAGCAAGTACATAAGTCATGATTTGAAACTTATGAGTTCAGAGTTTTAATCCTTTTAAGTTACTGAATTTTAGATTAATAATTTTCACACATTTAATGAATTTCTTGAGACAAATACAAAGTTGGACCAAATTACTAAGTTTGGACGAACTTATTGTCTCCACCCCTGAGTATAGAGTGTAAGTATAAAGTATTATAGATCTACTATTCACAATGTGAATGTAACTTAGTATAAATGTACATATTTTTATAACTTTACACTAATATATCAATTAGGTATGTCTGCACCCACAATAGCAAAAGGTACATTCATGGATTAACTTCAGTGCCTTAGCAACCTACTGGACCATAATTAAGATCCGAAAACCATAGTAAGAATAACACATGATTTGCGAGTAAAAAACAAAGAAATATCAAGAGAATGCTTATAGCATTAAATAAGCAAGTGTAGATAGTGATAATTTTGTCTTTTATTCCACTAAATAGCAATAATTACACCATGTAGAGATATGCATCGTGGCAAAATATCATCCACAGAGTTGACTTATCCATAAGTCACGAGGACTAAATAAAAGCCCTTGTTTTTTTTTTTTGGTAAAGAATAAAACCCCTTGTTACAAAAGAGACATTCACCTTATGTCTTGGATTTAGAGAATCAATGCTTCTGAAATATTTCAATGCATCTTTTGGCCCACTTTATTTTATCCTTATGAAAGGATCATTTCTGTTGTAGAAAAAAGAAGTGTTCTGCATTTATCTGAAAATTAGAAATGCACTCGATTTGTGAAAAACCTACTAATTCTTATGGAGAAGAACGATTGAATACCAGCCTTGTAAGTTGTAACCTTCACTTCTCACTTGTCTTTTCAGACTTGAGTTTATAAAATTTTCAGAATTGTAATCCTCTAGTTTCAGATGAGAATGGTAACAAATAAAGTGATGTTTATTATATGTATAAGAACCTACTAACGTTGGTAAGTTTTGAACTTGGAAATAGCCACGTGCTTAACACTGAACATTTTCACTTGCTTCTGTCTATTAGGTCTATATGATTAAATTTATAATGTCAAGCTTCTCTGTGAAACTCGCCTCTGATCAATTACACCTCTTCGACTTGACAAGCAGTAACTGACGACAAAGTCTCACGTTGTGCATAACTAATCATGGTATGTAAATTCTTAAGACGCTATAAAGCTTAGGAAATTTACAATTCTTGATGCCTGGATCACTAAAGTAGTTTGTATACATTCTATAAGTGATGAGGAAATAAAACTGAACAGTGTGATTTGTGTATATGTTGCCTCTATTTGTCATCAAAGACGAGCAGTCTGCACACAAGGCTGAGTTATATCAGCACCAGCCATTGGCCTCCAAAATCTTGAGTTGAGACGCCTCCAACATAACCACCAGAGATCTATTTCGACGAGAAGATCTGCACAATGTGCAGTTTGGTTAAGCCAGCTCCTGGGCATTAAAGACGATACCTGATTCATGATAGAACTTACCAGAACCTAAATCACGAATATCCCCAGTTTCATGAAGGCCCTTGTCAATTGTCACCACTTAGTATTACACCTCGTGAAGCCTCTTAGCATTTTCAACTGTTTCAGTGTAGAAATACAATCTCCACAGTGTTGCTTTGTCCTACAATAACCCATTGAGAACTTAGGAAACTAGTCACTTGAGAAAAATTAAGCACATCATTGGATTTATATTTACCTCTTTTTCTAAATCAACATGCACCTCACTGCAAGACTCTACTTGCTTACCACGGCATAAAATCTCGACAACACGATCAAGATTTCTAGGTGGAAGGTCCCGTATCAGCCGCCGAAGGTGTTGTTTCTCAGGTAAGGTCATTAACCTGCCAAGGGTAATCGGATTCCCCATACCAAAAGTTAATCTGACAAGCAACAAGCCACATCGAGACCTCATGTAATAAACACCTAATTAATTAATTAACCAATTCTGCATCAATGCTAAATTAATAGCCTGTTTGGCCAAGCTGTAAGAATCAGCATATTTTGAGAAATGCTTTTTGCCAAAAGCGCTTTTTGCAAAAGTACTTTTGGCAAGAAGTAGTTTGTGTTTGGCTAATTTATTTGAAAAACACTTATGCGCAGCAATTAGTGTTTGGCCAAGCTTTTAAAAACTGCTTCTAAGTGTATTTTTCTCAAAAGTGCTTTTGGGAAGAAGTTACTTTTTTCCTCTAAAAGCTTGGCCAAACACTTCAACTTAGGAAAAAAGAACACTTTTTTGAAAAAAATAAACAGGCTATAATTAGGATCTGTCATGTGCCAAATTAAACACTACACCCCGCAGGATCAAAATACAGACCTTCAATTTACAGGACTGTTGCTCTACCACTGAACTGTAGGGCCAAAGACATCTACCAGATATTCTACTACTGTCTTCTAAAGGGAATTCCACATCATTCAGATTTCTAATTATGCCATTCTTCTTCTGGACACAAATTTAACATCGCTTCAAGGGTGTGCAAGGAATTAACACCAAACGCAGCAACTAACAGGACATAACAGCGCATCTAATTTAACGAGGCCAAATACGACAAAATCAGATACATTCAGGCACTCACGCGCATGTAACCTTATACACGCACACGCACACTTCGTTTTTACACTATATCAGTCACTGAAAACCAATAAAACACTTTTTCTCGAACTTTTGTTTTTTCCTTTCAGATGTATAGCGGAATTCTTTATCAGAAAGAATATACAAAACATAAATAGAAAAGAATAAATTGGATACTTCCACAGTAAATATTTATGAGAAAACATTACTTTTGTTTGATAATGGTTATGAGAAAAACACAACTTCCAATCTCATTCATTCTACCCATACCCTAAATTGTAAAGAAAGAATAGACCTTACTACTTAATTTAGACAAAGTACAAAATTCTCATACCTTTCACCCAGATATTTTACTCTCTTTCTTAGTCTTAAAGGCTACGTTGAAGGAGTTCAACGATGTTAAAGAACAGATATATTATAATCTATGAAGTATGAAATGGATCAAAAATGTTCATTTGTGTCCTTTGTTCGATAGTTGTTACAGATTTTTACCAGAATAAGACCATACAAAAGTTAAGGGCAAGAAGAAGTAAATTCATGCCCCTTGCTTTTGAAAACTGTCTTGCACCTATACAACGTACAACTGAAATAGTGGTCAACTAAGGGAAAATTCAAAAGTTAGGTCTCCTTTCGATTAGAATATAACTAATATGTGAAACCAAGATGTGGTTCGGAATGTTGATAAAATACCACACTGCAACAATTAACTCACTATAGAACATGCTTAAAGCGGACATTAGCAACATCTTCAGACTGTTACATACTATCTCCATTTTCAATCTTTTCTCATAGTATTCATTCCCGAGAAAGAAGACCGCTCTCCTGAAAGGGACAATTACCATATTGAAAAAGCAAAATTAACATGTAATGGCTCAATCTTCCAACTTTTGTTTTAACATATCCCAGTGGAATTAAACACAACATCACATTCAAACTTTCTTTTCTTAAACATTAGGCAAAGTCAGCAAGGTCAATCAATTTGGGTATGGCAGGAATACTTAATATTTGGTCAAACCAATTGATAATCACATTTGGGCTGGATAAACCCAGGTAAAGTGCAAGAGACACCTCGAACTGGATAAGATCCCAACAACCCAATATCCGAGCACCCTATAGGACCATAAGGGAAACATACCAACCCTGTTTGTTATGGTTTTACAAAACGAAACTGCCAAATTATCGTAACATTTATCCCAAATGAATATCTCAGGTGTTCCCTCTGTAACCAAATAACAAGCATTATTTAACACAAATTCTAACCTTCCTTTGAATCTTCTAAGATATTTAGGTTTTGGAGGCAAAGCTCATCCAAATTGTTAAAATTCAGCTCCCTAGAGTTCTTATACGCCAAACAGGGGAAAAAACAATAACAAAATGAAACAAATTTTCAAATGAGAACTTCCAAATCATCGTCTATCAAATATTACTAGCATACAAGGACTAGCAAAATATACTGAAATGGGAACAGCAAATAATCAAATTTCCCAATATGTCGACAAATACCTGCAATTTGACATAACAATATCAAGAAGTTCTTCAAGCTTCTCCTCCATGTATCCAAGCTGCATATTGTCAAACCACAATTTAGACATAGCTAACAATCTACTAAAATCAGTAAAATTCCTGATAGAGTGACTCAAGCTCTTAACCAATTTACCGTATCTAAAAGTTCATCGCAATGCTTCTTCATCACACTCTCAACCTTTGCGCTATCATTTTTTAGCAGAAACTGCAAATCATTGTGGACCTGGAAAACGGGAAGGGGGTGATGAAGCATTTCTTTGCAACTACATCAATTCAACATTCTAAGCAAAAGGATAGTGAACATGGTAGTTCAAGGCGAATAATTAAAGCTTTATCCTCATCCAGAAAAATTTCCACCTGAAAAGAGAAGAGAGAGAAAGAAGAAAAGAAGGCGAGCCTAGAAACATGCACCAGAGAGAAAGAGAGATGGATCTTACATCCCAGTCTTCAGGAGCTGCTCCTACATTTGAACCCAATTCATTTTGGTCCATCTTTGCAAGGGATCTTTTAACCTGTTCTCCTTCAACTTTTTGAACATCATCACTCGACATTCCTCCAGATGGCAATATATTCAGGTCCTCTCTTTCTGAATCCTGCATATCCTGTCAAATGTCTCAAAATACATTTCTATAAATAAAGCTAAAATATGGGGTGAGACCGATAGAGGCAGTGAATTGATTCACCCTAGCCGAATGAAGGAAGACCCTCATGTCAGTTCGGGGGCAGTAAAAAATTCGCATCCCCCCACCACACAAGGACAACGAAGTCTTAACACAATACAAATTTTTGCCCAGCATTATAGCCGATGAAGTTCAGGTTGGGGCATTTTTCTATTATGCTAACTTATCAACTGCTTTATTATCTTCCTTTCCCTACCCATATTATTCTACTTTTACCAGTTACTTCTCGCTCGAGGGATGAAATGGAGACTCGCTTCTGGCGTTTTGTGTGACAAGAAGGTGCCATCAAAACTTAAAGGTAAGTTCTATAGAGTGGTGGTCAGACCGACTATGTTATATGGGGCTGAGTGTTAGCCTGTCAAGATTGCCCATATCCAGAAGATGAAGGTAGCAGAGATGAGGATGTTGAGATGGATGTGCGGGCACACCAGGTTAAATAGGATCAGGAATGAGGTCATTCGCGACAAGGTGGGTGTGGCCCCCATTGAGGACAAGATGCGGGAAGCGAGGCTTAGGTGGTTTGGACATGTGAAAAGGAGCACAGATGCCCCGGTGAGGAGGTGTGAGAGGTTGACATTGGAGGGCCTACGGAGAGGTAGAGGTAGGCCGAAGAAGAAGTGGGGAGAGGTGATTAGGGATGACACGACGCAGCTTCAGCCTACCGAGGACATGACCCTTGATAGGAAGGTGCGGAGGTCGAGTATTAGGGTAGTAGGATAGGTGGTAGATTGTTCATACCAATAGGTTTAGTACGCACTCTCGCATTCTGTTGGTAGTAGGTTTCTACGAATACTCGTCATTTTCTTTCATTTTGATCATCTTATTATTATGTTGTTTCTATGCTACTTTTACATGGTTTTTTGGTATTGTCCCTCATTGTCTATCTGTTTAATTAATGTGGTGCTTATGTTTTACTGAGTCGGGGGTCTATTGGAAACAATCCCTCTACCTTCACAAGGTATGGGTAAGGTCTGCATACACACTACCCTTCCCAGACCCCACGATGTGGGATACTACCGGGTATGTTGTTGTTATTGTTGTTTAAGTGATGATACACTGGTTAAAAAAATCCAAAAAAACTAGGTATCTTATTATTTTAAATCTTAAAACAAATATTCGTTCGATAATGATAGTAACAGTGATAATGTTGTATCTAAATCAAACTCAAGATTAGCATGTCAAATTTTGAATTTAACTGTAACAGATGATCTTAAATCCTTTGAGAACATAATTAGAAAAGCTAGAAATTCAATTGCTCATGTTGTTAACTTTATTTCAAGCCCGACAAAGGCCGAATTTAAATGTGTGGAAAACTTTCACAATGTACAATTCGGTAAATTACATTATTAAATGTGTGGAGAACTTTCACACATGTACTTTAAAAATTTTAGTACTTACTATCCTACAAATACTATTTCAGATTATTTAACTTAAATTGCTGCTATATTTCATGAATAAAAGGAAAATCCTTTCGCAAATGCTAAGCAAAGAAAGAAAAATTTGAAAAGAATCTTATTCCAATTACACCTATTTTTGAAGTTGCTTTATTAAATCCTATTTTAAAATTAGGATAAGTTAAACAATTAAAAGATTTGGTTATCTACATTTGGATATAGAAATTGTTGTTATCCCAAATGCGAAAACAACCGAGGCAATTTTATATGTACGTATGCTATTGCAATGTTCGGCTATTATCATGAATAAGTAGGGAATGTTAGACCAATGATTCCTACTCCAACTTCTTCTAAGATTTTAGGTAACTCTCGGTATTTGGAATATGTTTAAATCTCAATCAAGTTATGGCCCACTTTAACGAGCTTACTTTTTCTTTGCAACAGGATTTGGCAACGAAGGAAGATTGCAATGACATTTTGAAATGGTGGAAGAGAAAATGCTAATCCACCACGGCTTGGAATGTGCTCAATGTTCATGTCTCAACTATGGCATCTACAGTGCTTTTTACCCAAGGAAAGATGCAACTTAGTGAGCAATGAAACAGACTCACTGGACAAACTTTGGACGACTAAATTAAGTCGAACAACTCATACTCACAACACGAGTTTCAATATCCAAAGTTGACGACATTTGTGCTTCCGTGGATTATGAGTAATTCTTGTAAGTAACAAAATTACTCTTGTAAACTTGTAAGTTACATTTAAAATCTCAATATCTTTGTAATTAATTGAAATTTAATAAATTTTGAGGTACAATTTTCGCATTTTCGCATCCAATGCCTCAATTTTTATATTTTACAAATGTTTAACTTTAAATTTAAATTTTAAAAATTACATAAAAGATTATTATAATTATTGGCCCGTCAGAAGCCCAGTTTAAGCCCGGACCTGCCATGCCTAACCCATTTAATAAGGGGCCTGGGTGAACTGCTTTCCGCTTTACAAGAATAATCCGGCCCGTGATGGCATGTTTAAAGTGAGCTTGAATCAGCAGCCTCCACTTAATGGGCGAGGTTCAGTCTGAATCAACCAACTTAACATGTATAATTAAGCTTCAAACCACTCTCTCCCAGATAAATTTGTTAAGGCAGTGTAAAGAAGTTACTCAATTTACAGCTTACAAATATTTACAGCTAAAAGAAATATCAATTTAACCCCTCTGCTTGTTTTTACCAAAATTATAGAAAAGAAAAACAAATCTAGACAAATCTTTTTTTATAACCAAGAAATCTTCAAAAATCAGCTGGTGCACAGCCCGAAACTTGATGAATATTGGGTTTGCCTCTTTACCCTTCTTCACTTAAATATCAGGCTCTAAGTTTGTGACAGAGTTTGAACTCGTGGCGTACATCTAATTCACACATCATGTTTTGCACTCTTACCACTAAACCAAAGTCCCAAGGGCAAATCTCAACAAACTATTTTGGCCTTCATTTATAAAAAGACTCTTAATATAGGAACGCTTATGAATCACTTTATTAAAGCAACTACAATATTCTCTACACGTAACCTGCAATGTTAAGCCTAAATTTCTCAAATTTCTTTTAGAAATCTCACTCCTTATTTTCTCTTTTCTTTTTTCCTTTTTACTTTCAAAGATCAAACTGAAGCTTCCAAAAGATAGCAAGTTCTAAATAAAACATGAAACACTTACTGTGAAAGGGGATGCTTTGAGCTTCTTCTGAGGACGGCTCCCTTGATCCGAGTCGGATACAGCACCTGATACAGCTAATAAACTTTCTTTATACCTTAGGCATGATCGCAACTGACATATGGAAAATATGGGATCCAGAATCTGCATTAAAATATCCAGTGTGAAAATTATATTATATAATACAGATATTACTAAGACAGCTGGTCTTCAATCATTCTTTGCATATTCTTTGCTTAGAAATGGTCATAAAATTCATACAATAGCACATCTAACATTTATCTTTCGCAACTGTTTCATCTTTATGAGAAAAGAGGAGAACCATTGACTGGAAAGCAATGACCACTTCCCACGATTATAATGGCACAGGCACAGGCACACAGGCAAAGGCACAGAACAACTTCTTACCACATAGACATGCCCACAATAAAAGGACCAATATATAATAAAACCATAAAAGTAACACCCCTTTCAGAAATAGCCAAGTATTGGGAGAACTTTGTTTGATGTGCAATGTAGGTGAAGGTAAAAGCGGGTAGTATGTACCTCGTCCACTTCCCGTGAAAGGGCAACAATACTTTGCCGAAGCAACAACTTCAATCTCTCTGTTCTAAAATCCGAAACATGAGATCCAAAACAATCAGAAAATAAGGAAGCAGACCCACCGGTGTAACTAAACTCCTTGGCGTTATACGTACTCATACTACTATTCTTTTCTTCGACAGCACTATTTACTTCTTCACATTTCTCAAATATCTGCTCTGAGAATGGCAGAAAATCTCCATCCTGAGAAAGTAACTCTGCCACCTCAGATGCAAAAAGCCCAAAGTAATCTGGTCCTTTTCTGTTGCACTCAGTCGAAGCACCCCAACCCATTTAAGATACCTAATAGCTTCAACGCCAACTTCTGCAATGAATTACTACTAGATCAGTCGCAGTAGCATTCACCGAAGTATTACTGCAAAGCAAAAACAAAGCCAGGTTGACTGATAAGCTGCCAGAGTAGCATAGAGGGAGCTCTTCTCCATTCAGAAGATAAGAGTAGCCAACACAAATATAAACTAGGGACGTAATTATAAACTACCTGTTGAAATTCAAAGGTATTAGTGAAGTTATATGTGTCTTAATTCATAATAAGTCTACATTCAACTCGAAGAATTATCGAATAACATTAAATCTTCCATATTTGATTTAAAATAGTCACTTACCTTATTGTATAGAAGATAGTTACTAATAAGAAAATGAGTTTGAGCCTAACTCAACCGCAAAAAATAGCTCATGAGGAGAAGATTGTCCAAGATCATATAAAAAGACCAAATAACCTACTCACAATTGATGTAGGATCTTACATCCCCCTCTCTCCTCCTCCTCTTCCCCACCAGCCCAAGACTGAATATTTGGAGCGTTGACAGTATAATATGAGAGCTCAATATCGGGTACTTTGTGATGGATCTAGCTATGATACCACTTGTTGGAATCGAAATAACCAAGTGTCATGCGGAAATTATTAAAGCAAATCTTGGACGATAATAAATAAGACAACAAAGAGAAATATACCAAAAGAAACAAAACAATTTAACATGATCTGGTCAATTGAACTATATATAAGCAATTCACTAATATCAAAGAGAGTACAAAAATACCGAGAGAATAATCCACCAGATTCACTCTCAAAAAGGTTTATGTTCTCCCCCTAAACAACCTCTCTTAAAGACTATAGTGAATGATCTAAAGTGAGAAGGAAAGATCCTAAATTTATAGAAGTCCAAAACCTTTTCCTCCAAAAAAGAGGATTACCCAAATATGAAAGATTTATAATTTCCTTTTAGGAAAACTAAAACTAATTATAGTAAATGTTTTTCTCTTACTTCAAAACAAGTAAAATTCAAATATGGTAAAAAAGAAAAATCAACGTAAACACCCTTATCTTGAATTTTCTAACAAAATAAAGTTGATTCGCTTTCTTCACATAACCTTTAACATATGACTACTGCTTGCCATGTTTAAAAATAAGGTCAAAAATAGGTATGGGTTAAAAATATTTATATTTTTATTTTCATAGATGCATCAACAAGAATGTCGAAAATATGAGAAAATTATCTTCATATGGAGTAGTACAACAACAACAACATACCCAGTCTGGTCCCACAAGTGGAGTTGTTTCCGATAGAACCTTGGCTCAAGAAAAGCATTTTCAAAAGGTTTGAAAAATATAAGAGTAAAAAAGCTAAGATGAAAATATTGACAGCAAAAATAGTAATGATAACCAAAGTAAATGAAACAATAGTAGTAATAAAATTGAAAAATAAGATAAAAATAAAATAATAATAATAATTTTTTTTTTATACGGTAATAAATTTCATTAATAAGGGCAGAAACAAGCGTGTATACAAGTAGTATACCCAAAAAGTAGAAAACCTTACAAAAGACATAGTTTTCTACGAATAGCACCCAATCTTTCATACAAATAGGAACCCCATGGGTACACCAAAAATAAATAAGGGAAAAGAGGTTACTCCTCAAGCGAACAAGATCTATTTCTACTCCATCAAAAGCTCTCCTATTACTCTCATTCCAAATAACTCACATGAGTAATGGAGCAACATTCCATGCCTTGCGTCCTCCTCCGTTTTCTGAAGGCCCAACTAAGCATAGTGTCTTTCACCGTGCCCGACATCACCCACTCAGTACCAAACCACCTAAAATTTTCCCTCACAAATAGGAAGCTATCCGGCAATCTAAAAGAAGGTGATTCACATCTTCTCCCAATTCTTTGCACATGAAGCACCAACTACCACAAGTGATCTTCCTCTTCCTCAAATTCTCCGCCGTCAATCTCACCCCTCTTGTAGTTAGCCAAGTGAAGAAACACACCTTTCTCGGCACCCTGGAAATCCATACCGGATTATGTGGGAAGACCGGCTCCTCCTTATTTAGAAGCTTCTCATAGTAAGGCCTAACAAAAAAAATCCATTTTCCCCGGCACCCCATCTCTATGCATCATGTCTATCTTGTGAAATTTTTGATTGTGAAGCCATCCGAGCAAGTTTTGAAATTCTTCCACCTCCCAGTCTTGCAAGTTCCTTCTAAACTTGACATCATATTGCACTTCTTCTCCTTGAAGACTCCACAACTGTTGGATAGGCATCTTCTTTTGATTCTCAAAGTGTTGTTCCCGCACCACCTATGCTCCCAAAAACTAATCTGCCTCCAATAATAACAACAACAATATTGCTAAGGAGAAGAGAGCAAACAAGGTGCTCTAAACTAGGACCATGCTCCCCCACAAAAAAGAGAGAAAGCGCTCGACTACCTACAAACCTTTTATCCTAATCTTCAACCTCCATGTTCTCCTATCTAGGGTCATGTCCCCGATGAGTTGAAGATGTACCATATCATGTCTAATCACCTCTCCCCAATTCAACCTCAGTCTACCCCTATCTTTCCTTAGACCTATCACTATCAACCTCTCGCACCTCTTCACTGGGGCATCTGTTTTCCTCCTCTTCACATGCTCGAACTATCTTAGTCTCTCTTCCCGCATCTTGTCTGCCACAGAGGCCACTCCTACTTTGCCCGTATATCTTCATTCCTAATCTTATATCTCCTAATATGCTCACGCATCCATCTAAACATCCTCATTTATGCTACTTTCATCTTCTAAACATGTGAAAACTTGATTGGCCAACACTCTGCCTCATACAACATAGTCGGTCTAACTATCACTGTATAGAACTTACCTTTAAGTCTTGGTGGCACATTCTTATCACATAGGACACCAGATGCGAGCCTCCATTTTATCTATCTCGTTTCAATACAATGTGTGACCTTATCGACAATCTCCCTATTTCCTCGAATTACTGACCCGAGATGCTTAAAGCTTCCTCTCTTAGGGATGAATTGCGTATCAATCCTCACTTTCACATTCGCCTCATGTGATGCATCACTGAACTTGCACGCCATGTACTCTATTTTAGTCTTGCTCAACCTGAAACCTTTACTACCCAAGGTCTGTCTCCAAACGTCCAGTTTCTCGTTAACTCCACCACTTTGATCAAATTTCCCCAAAGAAATCTTCATTACCATCAAATTAGTTACAGGTAAAACTACACTCGCCATGAACCTGTCTTCAACCTCACTTTGATACCATAATTAAATGAATCTTGAGATTACATAAACCACAAAATCTAGCTCATAAGGTAATGAATGCCCAAAACAATATAAAGAGATTAAATAACCCACTCACAACCGATATGGGACCAGACCCTCCCTCCCCCCATCCAAAACCATACGAATACTGCATGGTCAATATGATATGGGGCCCAACATCGGAAAAACCAAAAGTTGAGATGGATCTGGCTCTGATACTTGATACCACTTGATGGGATCAAAATAACTAGATCTTATGCGCAAGCTAACAAAATAAACCTTAGACGACGATAAATAAGACAACAAAAAGAAATATACCAAAAGAGACATAATAATTAACATGATTTGGTTAATTGATCCACATATGAGCAATTCACTAATATAAAGAAAGTACAAAATACCGATAAAATAACCTCATAAATTTCACGCTTAAAAAGGTTTACATCTATAAATTGTTTTTTTAAGGAATTGGCAATTGTATTATAAATAGCACCAGAAGGTGCACGCAAAAGTATTTATATATCAATAGCACAAGTATGTCCCATCTCTTCTTAGAGGGAACTTATCATTTCCTACTACTAAAATTCTTTTTACACCAAAAATACTATAACAATAATCAATTTATCTTGATCTTCTGAATAGAACTTTCTTTGTATTCAAAACACCTCTCATTACTCTCCTTCAAGATGGACCTTATACAATTTACATTTATAAATTGTTAGGTGTTTATCCTGATTTTCTTATCATATTTGAATTTTACTTTTCTCTTCTCGTCTTCTCCGTCTTCTTGAGCCGAGGGTCTATCGGAAACAATCTCTCTACTCCATCGGGGTAGGGGTAAGGTCTGCGTACACACTACTCTCCCCAGACCCCACTTGTGGGATTTGACTGGGTCGTTGTTGTTGTTTGTATTTGAATTTTACTTTCTCACAAAGGACGGACAAATATTAACCAAAATTGGTTTGGCTTCTTCAAAAAAAGGAAAATATAAATATACCATATTTGGCTAATCCTTAGAAGGAAAAGGTCTTGAACTTCTATAAAATAAAGATCATTCCTTATCACTTTATCATCCACAATGTAAACCTTAAGAGAGTCTTGTCTATGGGGAGAACGTAAATCTTTTTATGAGCTACATTGTACATAACGTGAAACTCTTATATAAGGAGCTTCTTTTGTACCTTGTCAATAATCAATTAAACAAACTATTTTGGCACTACTTTTCCCTAAGTTGCTCGGATACGGGTACGGGTATCCGACACGGGTGCGGATCTAGAGGTCGGATCCTTCGAGATGTAAATTCTAAGATTCGGGGATATGGATCCTAGTACGGATACAGATGCGGGGATCCGGCTAAAAGTAATTCAAAAATATAAAAATATCTCTAAATTATGAGAAATTTTGTGGAATAATTACGTATAGCATGTAAAGTGTGGATATCTTTTTTATTTTCAAGTTGTAAATAAGCAAAGGATTGATTTCCTAGATAAAATATGCGATTTTCTTCAAATATACCCTAGTTTTGGTTTTGATTTCGAGAATAAGTTGTATCTCGTCTCGAATTTTTTTGTCCGCGGTGGTCAAAGCACCCAAAATTATTTGACCAGATCCGGTACGAATCTCATACCCACACCCATACTAGTGTCGTGTCAACACAGGTGCGGCACCTAAACCGCCGTGTCGGAGCAACTTAGACTTTCCCATAAGGTTAGAACTTCTACGATTTTAGTAGACTCAAGTAGCTTCCATTTATTTGACAAATTCCCTTATGCCATCTAGTCCGCCAAAGTTTTTCTTCTTTCATTATAT